AGTGCCTGCACGTGCTCGCGCCCGCGGGCTGTCGCTAGCTGTAGCTAGCTGTAAGCGGGCCGCTACACAGAGCGCCCCCTGCTGTGGTTGCCACGCGCGGCGCTCAGCCTGCAGGTGACGCACAGCGCGCGGGTGCGTCGGATGGGTTGCCTACCTGACAGGGCTGCCCCCGCCTCTCCCGTACGCGCCCGCCCCGCCGCCGACTGTCCGCTGGAGCGGTTGCCAGGCCGCGCAAGGATCCGGTGGAAATTTTAGGGACAAAGAAGTGAGTCCTTATTTGACGGCCGGTACAGGTTACGGCCCAATATGACCCACGATGTGAATGTGGCGGTGGCGTCCTAATCTGCGCAAGTCCCTTTTGCGCCTCACGACGGCAAAGTCTGAAATGTGCTGGAATATCTGGATTTAGCGCTCTCGTGCTGTACATGGTTCCGTGGCCTCATGGCTCCAAGTCTCATCCTCCTAGCGAGCAGGCAACCCGTCCACTCGCCTTCGTACAGTATCACGTACCGGGGTTCCGGACACAGCCACAAAAAGTAAAAAGTAAAAAACGTTGCAGCGCTACGCGACGTCCCAACGCGCGGCCAGGCCATTTCTCCTAAATCAGCAATTTTCAGTAGGTCGGCCTGCGCGCGGGCGAAGTGTCGCGGAGCGCTGAGCAACTCAGTCTTGAACCAGCCGTGCTTTGAGCCGGTCACCGAAGCACTCCGGATAAGTCTCGAACAAACCGCCCTCTGGGCTGGACTACCGTACCGTGTACTCAGTCAGTTCAATCCAATAAACCCTTCAAACGCCGGTCCATCGTCTTCATACCGAACTCCAACCTTTTTCTACTCGACACTAGCACGTCTTCACATAACAGGACCCGCCCCTTCACTAGTCATCCTTATCCGAAGTGACCGTCAAATAGAGATCGGCGCCGAGCAGAACTATCTTTGTTTGCCTTACACCGAGTCCCGGGCCCGGGCCTTTGGAGAGACCCCGGCTTGAGTTTGCGCAAAGGTGACGGTCTCGCGGACGTCAGCACTCGCTGATATATGTTTGGAGAGGAGGTCCATCGGAGAGCCTCGGTTATTTTCCTGCTCAATCTTGGCGGCACCCGTGGCTCCTAGCTTGCTCCTAGCTCCTGGAGGGCTGTAGCTCGCAGTCTGCGGCGATGCCAGGCGGACCAGCCCGACCAGCCCGGCTTAAGCGCGACCCAGCCAGGTTCACAACCGGTTCTCCACTACTCGGAGCGCCTACCTGGACCTGGGCAAGAAGCCCGCATATCTTTCTGACAACGACAAAGTTTGGTTCGTTGACCGGCCGCTGGGAGCGCAGTGGCCCGTCCACCATACCCGCGGGGGAGGTCGGAGGGAAAGGTGGGAGGGAGGAGAGCGGCGCGGGGGCCCCGTCGGGAGCGGGAGGCGGGAGGGGAGGGATGGGGCTCGGATGGGGCCTCCTCAGTCTCCCAGCCACTTGAGCTGATGAGGCGAGACGCGAACCTCGAACCCAAACAGTCCAGTCCAGTCGTTGGGCCCGGCACGGCGCGGCGCGACACCGCGGGAGCGCGCGCGACATCGACCGGGAGGTGCGCGATACGAACGAGACGCGTTGCGGGGCGATCGACACCCGCGCGCACGCCTCTGGAGCAAAACTCAAAGTGAAAGTGCCGAGCGGCGCGGCCCCCCGCGCGCATTCCAGCGGACCGCGCGAGCGAGACGGGACGGGGTCGCCAAGTCTGGGCCCCCGCGCGGTGCGCTGTAGTAGCGCGGTCCGTGACCAGCAGCGTTTGCATGTGACGGTGACGTGCCAGTCGTCGAGGGAGCGTCGTCGGCCATGTGACGAGGTGAGTGACTGCAGCCGCGCGGCCCTCCGCGACAGTGACCTCGCTCCGCGCGTCCCCCCGGACCTTCCTCAACCCGGTGCCCGTCGAGCCACACAATTTCACATTAGGGAAAACAGTCCGATCTGAAGCGGGCGAGAGTCGCCATTCCTGTGCCTCCTCGGTCGGCGCACAGCCCGCGGCGCGGGCCGTCTGGGCCAGACTGAGGGTTATCGCGGCCGCGGCGGGGATATGGGCGATGCGGAGTGGACGAGGACCGGAAACTGATGCTGCTCTGGGCCCCGCCACACAAATTGACGGGGACGGGTCGCGGCAACGCCCCCGTGGAGGGAGAGGGAGGGGGCTGTCACAAGCGGTTGCACGCGGGCCGCCGCCGGAGTCGCCGCGCGCGGGAATCTTCTTGGGAATACATCAGTAGGCGGGAATAACAAAATAAAAAAAGTGCTTGAATCATTTTCGCGCGTTGATAATAACAACGACGACATGTCAAGGAGAGGGAGAGAGGCGGGGACGACACGGGTCACTCTCTGCCTCGCGGCGCGGCGGGGTGGGGAGCAGGCAGCAGCGCTGCCACTGCTGGACGTCATCGCCGACAACCGCGGCCTTGGCTTCGCCGGCTAGAGGAGGCAAAATGAGCAAAAAGCACATTGTCGGTACTCGTGGACCCCGGGCCGCTGTCGGTCGGTATCTACCGCGACAGATAACCGTATCACTGTTCAGTGATTTGAATCACCTGTCTTGACCCACTGTCGCGGAGGTCTGTCTATCCTAGAGTCACGAGGCGCCCTGCACTTTGTATTACTCCTGTGTATTTATTTTTTTATCGTTTTCCTCCTCCTGCTCCTCCTTCAGGAGCCATGTCAGGCGTATGCGCGTGGAGCCGACGCCGATGCTGATGAGCTCAGAGCCCGGGCAGTAGTCTGGCCGGTGGTGGCCGACAGGCGGTCGCGAGCCTGGACGCAGGCATGACGCCGCGAGACCAGGCGGCGCAGCGCGCTCCGAGCGCTCCCGCGCTGGAGGCCATGGAGGCCATGGAGAAGGCGCGGAGCTGCGACGTGCGGCTGCAGATCGACTTCTCCATCAGCTACGTCGCCCCGTCTAGGCGCCAGGGTAAGGAAGGACCCCCAAGCCCAAGCGAACGCCGCCTCGGGCCGGGGACGGTCAGACTAAAGCTTTTCCTCTGCCGACAGGGTGCGTCACAAAGGAGATCCTAACGGACGTGCGCGGTAGCCTCCGCCCGGGGCGTCTGACCGCCATCCTGGGGCCGTCCGGGGCCGGCAAGACGTCGTGCCTCAGCATCCTCGCGGGTCTCAGGTGCGCAAACGCGGTCTGGCGAAGTCGAAGTCGTCGCGGGGGTTGAATAGCATGATGAGGTTCTGACGTCCCGCTGCATGTTGCAGGGCGAGGGGCGTGCGCGGGCGGGTGCTGGTGAACGGCCGCGAGGAGAGCCCCTCCGCGTACCGCCAGCACTGCGTGCTCATCGCGCAGGACCTGGCGCAGCTGCAGGCGCTCACCGCCGGGGAGACGCTGCGCATCGCCGCCGACCTCAAGCTGCCCGCGAGCAAGTACTCGAGGGCAGATCGCCAGGCTGTGGTACGTGCCTCGTTGCCGGGTTCGAGTGTCCCTCCCCTCGTTGCACTTTGGGAGCTATCGCTGAATTTCTCGCTCAGGTGGCCAACATCGCCGGCGTCCTGGGCCTGGAGGCCTGCCTGGACACGACCGTGGCCCACATGTCCGGAGGCGAGAGGAAGCGACTGTCCATCGGCGTGGAGCTCGTCACCAACCCGCCCGTCATGCTGTTCGACGAGCCTACCAGGTAGGCGCACATCCGCGTGACACGGTGGTGGTGGCACTAGCGGCACTCCTCGTGACCCTAGTAGAAAAGAGTGCCGCAAATCTGCGTCCAAACGCCCGCCTCCGCGCGGCGATTCGAAACACAGCTGTTCGCCGACATGTTGACAGTGGCCTGGACTCGGTGTCGTCCGTGCAGGTGGTGTCGCACCTGCGCACGCTGGCGCTGGCGGGCCGCACCGTGGCCGTGGTGCTGCACCAGCCGTCCAGCCGCATGTTCCAGCTGTTCGACGACCTCCTCGTGCTCAGCCCGGGCCGCTCCGTGTACTGCGGGCCCGCCGACCAGGCGGCGGAGGTCTTCGGCGCGGCGGGCTTCACCTGCCCGACGTTCTACAACATCGCCGACTTCGGTAGGTTGGCGTCGCAGCAGCACATGGGGCGTGCCTGCAATGTCATATCTCTGTCGCACTTTCACACTCACCCGTCGCGTTCTCCCCAGTGGTTGAGGTGGCGAGCGGCGAGCACGGGCAGGATCTGGGTAGGCTGTTCGACGCGCTGCCGCGCCTACCCTGTGTTGCCCCGGAGGAGGACGCCGCGGCCTCCGAGGCGGACTCCATGCTGCGCCGGGATGACTTAGTGCTGGACGTGGAGGCTCGTCGTCACACAGTGCCCGCCATCGCCGCGGATAGGTCCTACCCAGTGTCCTTCTGGGTGCAGTTCTCCGTGTTGTTGAAGCGCTCGCTCATCGTTTCCTGGAGAGACATGGTGAGCAGCTTCGCGAGAACAACCGACAGGCCTTCGGCCTAACACCACAAGCTTACCCTGGTTACTCGATTTCTAATTTTTACAGAACATGGCCTGGTTGAGATTCGCCGCCCACCTCCTCGTCGCACTGATCCTGGGCTTCATGTACAAGAACATTGGAGACGATGCGTCCAAAATCAATGGAAACCTGGCTTGCCTCTTCTTCTTTGTGCTGTTCCTGTTCTTCTCCAACGCGATGCCCACAGTGTTAACATGTAAGAGGCGACATTCAAATAAGTCGACGTCACCCATCCCCATGGGTCAGATTTGAATGTGCCTTTCCTTCGCAGTTCCCCTCGAAGCAGCAGTCTTTTTTCGGGAGTACGCCAACAACTGGTATTCCCTGACGGCGTACTACCTGGCGAAAGTGCTAGCCGATCTACCGTTCATGGTGCGTAGGTATCATGTGCGATAACAACCCACGAACGTCTTAACAAAGTCCGCGAGGGTGCGCGTCCACGGCAGGCCGCCCCGCGGGCCAGGGGCCTGCCTACTGAGCAGGCGTCTCGGCCGCCCGCAACCGCCTGGCAGGGCAGGC